CAAATTCATGTTTTTTTTCTCCGCTGGTCTCTTATTCCAGTGTTTCTAATGTTTCCCGTCGGTTGTCGCATGTAAACAGTTTCTTCGAGTATTCCATTCAAATATGCGGTTTTGACATCAACGATGAACCCCTGTGGCTGTCAACGGACAGCAGAGCTCGGAAGATTGTCTGCTTTGCCACGTTACCCCTCTCGTCCTGCTTGGTCTTGAAAAGCCATTTGCAACCTGTAGTAGGCCTAGATGTAGTAGGCCTTGCCTGACTGTCATACGTTAGAGATTGGTTCTTTATCCGACCACCAACCAAGATAGACGTAATAAATAGTAGCTCTTAACAACAGCTTGTTTTACTTGTTGGCCTTGGTTACGGATATAACAATTGGCGACGAGGAAAATTTTGATGCCGGCGCCGGTGGTGTAGTGGTAAGCGTAACTGCTTTCTCACCCCAATGGGTCTGGGTTCAATCCCAGTCGAGGTCGGTGGGATTTTTCTGAGGCATAAAAATCTCTGGTCACGTCTTCCTTCGGAAGGGAAGTAAGCCGTTGGTCCCGGCCCATGTGTGTTGATGAATGAGTGCGATATCCTACGCAGGTGTGGAAGCTGTCTTCCTGCACATTCGATTGCCATCAATGGATTGCAATCGATGTCCGTCGGTGTTTGGCACTAGATTGCGGAACAGAGACCGACGTTAAATAAATAAAGGAAAGAGGAAAATATTGGAAGCACCTCGAACCTCGAAGCAAGAAACCTCAAGCAAGAAAATGTCTGACGAGGATCTTCGGAACGCTATCCTGCAGCTAACGAATCCCATCATGAGGCAGCAGCAGCAGATTGAAAACCTGGAAAATCGGGAAATCCGACTGCTGGCAGTGAGAAGATTATTGAGTCTTTGGCAAGCAGGATCCAGGATTTCCAGTACGATCCGGACGGAGGAGTTTTCTTCGATGGCTGGTATGCGAGGTACGAGGATGTCTTTACAAAGGACGGCCAATCCCTGGATGACGCCGCTCGTGTGAGATTGCTTCTTCGCAAGTTAAGCACGCCTCTGCACGAGAAGTACGTCAACACCATTCTTCCCATCCTGGGGGAAGGATCACCCACACTGAAGCACCTGCAGACATTCCTTTCGGTGTATCGTTCAATCCCAAACCGAAACACACCGCAGTCGACGTCTCCAGCAGAAGCATTCCTCGGAAGACCAGTGCGCACCACTTTGGACCTACTGAAGAAACCTGTTCCTGTAACTGAAGCTGTCAAGAACCACAAACAAAACGAACAGTTCAATTGGCGGCATGGAGCAGTCAAGCGCGAGTTTGAAGAAGATGACCTGGTCTACGTTGAACAGCATTGCAGAAACGCCAAGTCCTGGATTCCTGGTCGAGTCATCGAACGGTAAGGTTCCGTCAACTATATCGTTGCACTGGACATGAACGGGAGACCGAAGCTGGTGAGGTCGCATGTAAACCAAATGCGCCCTCGTCACACTTCTGATGATCCAGAGCAAGCGACGCAACAATTACCATGGGAAATCCTGCTTGATGAAATTCAAGATGACGCTGTACCGTTGGATCCAGAAGTGCCATTCAATCACGATGTCCCTATTTCTGTTGGTTCCGTATCACTCGAAGCTGATGGTCAAGTGGCAAGTACGTCTGGCGAAAATCCTTTTTCGACAATCGATCATGAACCTGCTGCTCAAGATGGAGAACTTCAGTCCGCACAAAAGCCCGTGTCATCTGAAGCAGTTGGAGACTTTATTCGACGTTCTGTACGAGAATCAAGAATTCCAAGATGGCTCTCTTCCTATGACATTTTTTAAAAGGGGGAGATGTAGTAGCATAGAGGTAACTCTAAGACTAGAAGGTCCCGCAGAAACGTGCTCAACTTTTTGGCACAGCTCTGGTACTCTCTTCGGTCCCAAGCTAATCGATTCACCCCTCGAAACATAGGAAAAACCAATAACCCCTCATTTTATCTGTCAAACATTCATAGCGAATCAAAACAAACATTGCGTAGTACTAGAATTTCGACTAGAATAGGGTACGTTAATCGTTTGCTTGGGACCAATAGGCTACTAAAGTGGTGAGCCAATTTAAAATCGTTAGTTTCGTATTGATTGTTGGTAGTAGGCCTTGCCTGACTGTCATAAGTTAGAGATTGGTTCTTTATCCGACCACCAACCAAGATAGACGTAATAAATAGTAGCTCTTAACAACAGCTTGTTTTACTTGTTGGCCTTGGTTACGGATATAACACAACCGATGACCTTCTTGCCAGGCGGAAGTTGCGCTAGCTCCGTCAGCGCTCGAAACTCTTCGTCCATGGCGACTTGCCACTGAAACGCCACGTCACTTCGTAACGCTTCCTCTGGAGTTTGCGGGTCACCAGTCTTCTTCGTTGAACATTTGCATGCCTTGAGTCCTTGTTGGACGTTGCTCGAACTGACTTCGTCAAGTTGTTCTGTAGAATGACGAAACGGAAAGTCTTTGTTTGGAAACATAAAGGCATGGTACTTGCCTGGAATTGCACGCTCCCGCGCCTCAACACCTGTGACTTCGGTGGATATAAAGATTGTCGCGGTGGGAGCGCCGAAATTGAAACGGCAATGACATGATCGGGAAATTCGTGCGCGCTTGTGTTTGCTTGCGGAAAGAAATCCTCATCGGAATCCGACGACTCTTCAGATTCTTCATCAAAAGGTTCGATTGGTTCTTTCGGACTTGCTTCCGGAATGGCTTCGTAGAAATCCAGACTCATGAAAGTTCAAACTTGAAGTTGCCTGCTCTTTGTAGCTAGAGGTAGCGCCTCGGCTTGAGGCGCCTCGTTGACGAAAATTACGTCTCGGCTCTTGAATACATGGTTCTTCATGCTTATAGTCCTCACCGGCAAGGCTACACTCCATCGATTTGACGTCCCACTTCTTCCGACGGTCCTGTTGACACGCTCGGTCAATCCGTTTGATGTACAATTCCAGCCTTGGCAAGTCGTTTCTGAAACGATCTGTTAGTGTCCTTACCATTGTCGCTGCGAATAACTTTCACCTTGGACCCGGTCTTTTTTCTTTATTACCGTCATTTTTAGCCGTAGGCTAGTTCATCACGTTATACAGCAGATGGTCAGGCTAGATTCTGCCTATAAAAATAGATTTAAATTTGATATTAACGTGACGTATAACTGGCTCTGATTACCCAACGAATGAGACAGACAACATTTTAAAAACTTAATGTAAAGTGAGGATTAGATCGGGGCTGTGGTGAGGACTGGGTGCGCGAACAAAGTAGAGCTCCACACCGTAGGAGACAGTGCCCGGTCCGGCGAAGAAATCCCGACGGCAGAAAAATAGAAAGGTGAGGAAAACACGATCAGTGCACCCACCGACGGCTAGATTTGATCATACAAGTGGGCGTCCTTCAGAAAGGCGATCAGCGCAGCCAACAGGGGTCGTAACCAAGCAGATTACTGACGTTCTCCGGGAGTCCATGTTGTTGGCGTAGCTTCTGGAACTCCGGGCAGACACACAGCACGTGTTCCACCGAGGCGGGGATGCTGCAAATTGAACAAACCTTGCGGAAAGGTGTCCCACCCAAATAACAGGAAATCCTCGCTTGGCCGGTCCGGAGTCTTGAGATGATCCACTGGTCCTTGTACTTTTGGCTGTCCAGCCAGGAGCGTACGGTTTCCTTGATCTTCCTCAGGAAAGTGGTCTGCGACTGGAACCATTCCTGCTGCCAGGCTTCCATAATAGTATTCACAATCCAACGCCTGACGTCTAGGATGGGGAACGTTCCTGGTGTAGCGGGGACGGGATGCACCAGATCCCGCCAGTCTGTCCGCAGCCTCGTTTCCAGGAACACCGCAGTGTCCGGGGATCCACGTAAATACGGTTGAAGGTGGGGCGTACCGTGTAATGGCTTGTATCCAGGGGTGGCTCGGCGCTTCGGCTTCCAGCGCTTGGATGACGCTGTGTGAGTCAGTTAACAAGAGGAACGGTTGATCTGCCGGAGTGATGGCTGCGTCTAGAATAGCTGCGGCTTCAGCGGAAAAGACGGAACACTCCTCCGGTAGACTTTGACTCGTTGCAGTGTTCGGTCCTGCCACTCCGAGTCCAACTCCAGCCCGCGACCGCGACGCGATCCGTCCGTAAAGCGATGAACGTGCCCCAGATAAACCGACCGAGAAGCTCTGCAACAGAACGTCTCAAAGCTACAGAGTTATCTCCGGCTTGGAATCCACTCTTAATCCGCTTATCTATTTTGACGACGTTTGATCGCCAACTCTTCTCATCATGCCAGTGGACCCTGGCCACCGGGGGGAGGTCACGGTTGGCTGCAGTGCTGAGGGCTCTGTTCTCCTCGTTGAGGAGAAAGACCCTTTCGTTCCCGGATGTCTTAGTAGCGAGGGCAGCGGCTTTCGTAGCAATGGCTGCCGCAGATGGATAGCGGAAAGGGAGGATTCCGATTTCCACACATGCGGCGTCTGCACGTCTCCGTATTTTCCACAGTGTAGTAGGATTAGGTGCTCCGCTGTTTATAATTCACCACATGTTTCACAGTCTGGGCTGTTCGGTAGTTTCATCTTGTATTTCCAATACTTTGACCAGTCATGTCCGACCATCAACCGGTTCAGTTGACGAACTTGTTGACTGGTCAGTTTGATATCAACAAACCACGGTCTCGACCTGCAATCCGGTTGGATTTGGAAGAATTCTTATACTTTATCTCTAGCGTACTCCTTGTACCATTCGTCAGTTTTTGTGAACTTAGCAATTATCCACGGTCCATACAAATTAAAAAAAATGTATGGACAATTGTATACGCATAGGAGGGGGGGTCAAAAGTCCCAAAAATTGTCTACGTAGTTAATTAACAGTCCCTAAGGCACCGCAGTTTATCTGCATAGGAAGTATTCGAGGACGAGAGTAATTGTTGAATCGCCTATTAGGTATGTGGAAGATTATTTACAACCGTTTACAACTAAGGAAGGATGGTTCTTTCGCTCCACTTTGAATTGACAGCAATTTGTTCCCACTATTTATTCAACATATATAGCATCAAGAGCAATGGCCAAAGAAGAGATTAATATTGTTTAGATCCAACATGAAATGAAAGTAAAACTACCGAGATACTCACGCTTCCACCTCATACTGATCCTGGTGTTCCAACGCGACGTGATTCTTGATCAGATACAGCTTGTTGAAAGCCCGCAAACAATACGGACAGTAGTGCAGTTTCTGCGGGAGTGCTCCCGGCCCGTGGTACTTTTGTTTGTGCTTGTTCAGAAGGCCTATTCGCGTGAATCCCAGCGGGCACTCGTCGCAAACGTGCGGATAATCGTTCGTGTGTAGAGGCATGTGCCGGTCGATGCCGGCCTTGTCCGGGAATACCTTGTCGCAATAGGTGCACTGGTAAACGTTCGGATTGTGCTTGTACTGCTTGTGGCGATAGAGGGCCATTTTTGTACTTAGCTCGGTGAAACAAATATCACATCGAAACTGCTTGCAGATTTTACTGGTGTAGGTAGGGTAGTTTTTCCAAAATTCATCATCAATTGGGTCCTCCGTAGTAGCATACTGCATCTGCAGGGCATGGTAATATTTGCCCAAAGGAATTTCGGAGTTCGGTATGGGAGGAATCAAATTCTCATCCAAACGTTCCATCAAGACGAAGCATGGGTAAACTGCGGGAATCTGTTCCTGCTCACTGTAGGCCATATATTCGATATGTTCCGCTTTGGAAGCTGGAATCAGCTCAGGAACATATTCCGGCTCATTTGGAATTTGGAATTGGCCGTATGTTTCTGAGACCACTTCTGCGCTAGTTCTAGGCATAGCCATATCGGCAATCAACGGAATTGCTGGGTCCAGAATAGAACTACCAAGGTCAGGAATCGCAATCACCGGATCCGGTGTAGCAATAGCATGGTCGGTAATCTCCACCATCACCGGCGCGGGAACAGGTTCGTCAACGACGACTATTGATTCATTCACCAGAACAGGTGCTGCTGATATTGCGTTACTTTTTCGCTTCCTCCTGTTAGCTGCTTTCTGCTTATGCTGAGCATGCTTATCATTTATATGACGCGTCAAGGATCCTATAAAATGGAACCGAACTCGACAGGTCTTACACTCGTACGGTTTGTTGCTGGTCTCCGACTCCGGTTCAGAGTTCATTATGTTTATGGAGACTACAGCTGGTTGCGCCTCCGACGACGTAGCTTTCGGCTTATCATCTTTCTTCTTCCGCGCCGGTGGAACGTAATCGTTGGAAGCCTTCGGCTCGTGTAACACTTGAATGTGAAATCGCAACTGCTTGTCGTTGGAGAATATCCGAGGACAATACGAACAGTTATGTAATTCGACCTCCCCATTCTGTTCGCCAATTCCTTCGTGAAACTTTGAATGACCGTTCAACATACTTTGCGTCGAGAATGCAGCATCGCACACATCGCAGTGATAGTAAAGATCATGAAGCGACTTCCAGTGCTTCTCGAATTCAGTTTTAAATCGAAACTTGCTAGGACATTGGCTACACTCGAACGGTAGCACCTGCCCGTGTTGCCGTTCAATTCCGGTAAGAGCGTAATCGCAGCGCAGGCAGCGTTCCCGGAAGCGCTCAAACTCCTCCAACATCATCCGGCAAGTGTTGCAAATTCCGCAGGGACTATCCACCGGAGCAGACAGTCCAATTTCCATATGTCTTCTGATCAGATCCACTAGCATCTGGTTCGGCTGCGGGAAACCGTCCGCGACAAGCAAAGCCTCGACATTGTTCTCCGATAGGCACAACCGGCAGTAGGAATCCGGCGATCCGCTCGGGCTGGAAAAAGACGAAAACAAATTTAGTTCCATGTTGCGCTCACCGTTCCTCCACTGGCTAAATAATTACACAATCAAAAAATCGTCCTCCATCGTGCAAAAATAAGGTAAAAACAAAAGATTTTCTTTGGTGAGATTTGAGAAACCGCTTCACAAGCTGCTGACAGTGCATTATGCACCCATTCTGAGTTCTTCTTCCATGACTAATAATCTTCTTGATTGTCTCAATTTCATCGGTATCAACCGCATCGGCCAAATAAGGCATAGGTAACGGTTATTCGAATGGCATGGTTGCCAGATTTTCCGGATGAAATTAATTTTTAATTTTTTTTTAAATTTTTTTTTTGATTTTTTTGCAATGTTTTACACCATATAGGCCTTTTTAATGCACCGCACCAACATAGAGTCCACCACGCGAGTTCGAGAGGAAACGTCAACCAAACTGTTTGTTTTTTTGTTACTGTAAAATCCGTAAGCAGACTGTGCGTGAAACATGGCGGACTTCGTACTATCAACAATCAATACGAAACTAACGATTTTAAATTGGCTCACCACTTTAGTAGCCTATTAGTCCCAAGCAAACGATTAACGTACCCTATTCTAGTTGAAATTCTATTACTACACTATGTTTGTTTTGATTCGCTATGAAAGTTTGACAGATAACATCAGGGGTGTGTGGATTCATGCAGAACATGCAGGGGTGAGTGAAATAGCTTGGGACTGCTTGGGACCGTTGTTCTGGTACTGAGTGAGCCAAAAATAATAATGATTTTCTTCGGGACCCAGTGGTCTTAGAGTTACCTCTATGGTACTATCCTTTCACTCCACTAAAAACTCCCATAAGAAACTGTCAATCTTTTCTAGAAGAACAATTTATCGACGGTGCCGTCAACGCCAATTCCCATCAGTAATAATAGGCCTTTTTAATAGGAACTAAACGATCGATTCAACCTCTAGTGGTGAATAAGAGAACGTCAAAAAGAGTGTTGTGAGCAGAAATTTTCGCCTTGAGACATAGGAAGTGGAACACTTTTTTACTTTTCCTGATAAATTGATTCATCTGAGATGCTCGAGAACTTAAAGGGTGATACGGTCAAAATTTGGTCAATATCAACTTGACGTATTTCTTTCAATTTTGCATTTAAAAAACCTGAACACCCCTCATTTTGAAGGTGTGTGTGTAGAATGTTGCTCCTATTTTGATTTTGGAATTCACTCTTCAGTTGTCAAAATGCCGTCCAAGCAAGAAGAGCAGCGTATCAAAATTTTGCTCGCGCATCGCGAAAATCCGAGCTACTCGCACGCAAAGTTGGCAAAATCGCTAAAAGTTGCCAAATCAACCGTTACAAATGTAATTAAAGTGTTTGGGGAACGTTTGTCGACAGCCAGGAAGTCTGGATCGGGGGGAAATCGAAAACCGGAAGCCGCTGAGACGACAAAGAGAGTTGCCGGTAGTTTCAAGCGAAACCCTAACCTCTCTCTCCGAGATGCCGCAAATAAGCTGGGTGTATCGTCTACAACCGTGCATCGAGCCAAAAAACGAGCCGGACTATCGACTTACAAGAAGGTAGTGACTCCAAATCGCGATGATAAACAAAATACGACGACCAAAGCGCGATCCCGGAGGCTGTACACGACGATGCTGACGAAGTTTGACTGCGTGGTAATGGACGACGAAACCTACGTCAAAGCCGACTACAAGCAGCTTCCGGGACAGGAGTTTTATACGGCAAAAGGAAGGGGAAAGGTAGCAGATGTTTTCAAGCACATGAAACTGTCAAAGTTCGCAAAGAAATATCTGGTTAGGCAAGCCATCTGTACCTGTGGCTTGAAAAGCAGCATTTTCATAGCTTCCGGGACTGTCAACCAAGAAATTTACGTGAAAGAGTGTTTGAATAAACGTCTGCTGCCTTTCCTGAAGAAACACGGTTGTTCCGTACTGTTTTGGCCGGATTTGGCATCTTGCCATTACGGTAAAAAGGCCATGGAGTGGTACGCCGCCAACAACGTGCAGGTGGTTCCCAAGGACAAGAACCCTCCCAACACGCCAGAGCTCCGCCCAATTGAGAAATACTGGGCTATTGTCAAGCGGAACCTAAAGAAGACCAAAAAAACTGCTAAGGGCGAGCAGCAGTTCAAGGCAAACTGGCTTTCTGCGGCGAAGAAGGTGGACAAGGTGGCTGTATAAAATCTGATGGCAGGGGTCAAGCGTAAGGCCCGGCAATTCGGATTTGGAAAAGCGGAAGCCTAACTGAATATTTTTCCTGAATTTTATACAAATTGAACTAGAAAAAGAAATTTAATTTGATTTTTTAAATAAACGATTTCACCGATTTACACGCGTTTTCCCTTGACCAAATTTTGACCGTATCACCCTTTAATCTACAGTTGAAAAATTTAATTCTGTAACGTTTTTGCAAAGATCCTGCTGGATGTTCAGGAATATTTTTGTTGAGAAAAATGGAAAATTAAAAAAGTGATTTAGTGGTTATGATCTTCCGGATTTCTTGTGTGTGAATAGTTACGGTACAAATCAGTTCAGATCTGTTGAAAATCGTACAATAAGACAATTACCGATGGAAATTGGCAAGATGTTGAATGAAAAATGTTTAATTTGCGTTGTGAAAAATAGTTATTCTGATGTAAACAAACGGTTTGGTTGACGTTTCTTCTCGAACTCGCGTGGCGCACTCTACGTTGGTGGTGCATTAAAAAGGCGTATCATTGTCTTATTAAATTTTTTATGATTTTCCACACATCTGAACTGATTTGCACCTAAACTACTCACACACAAGAAATCCGGAAGATCATAACCACTGAAGTACTATTCGAAAGTGACACGGATATGAATTTTGGTCATTTAAATCAAAAATAAAAATGTTTATACTCTAAACATATGAATCATTCAAAGCAAATTGAAAGCATTTTTAAAACTAAAATACATATTTATGTTTGAATTAAATTCAAACGCATGTTTATTTCAACAATATCGAAATATCAAATGTATTTGACAGCATCTGTCACCGACGTGTCTGTGTTTTACTAATAATCAGTGCTAACATTTGAAAACGGCACAAAAGCCATTTGTAAACAAATGGTTTGTGGGCCCTTTACTTACTACTTGAAGTACACCCACGCGACACAACAGCAACATCGGGTAGGGGAAATTTTCCCCTTCCTGACTATGCTGTTGGTTTGCGTGGGCGTTCTTCAGGTAGCGAGTAAAGGGCCCACAAACCATTTGTTTACAAATGGCTTTTGCAACGTTTTCAAATGTTAGCACTGTAATGATCAGTTTCTGTACATGACGAATAAGAATGGAATCATTTTCCGGTGGGACCTGCCAAGCGGAAACGGTTGGTGGTGATAAAGGCGTAGAAGACCAAGTAGAAGACGGTAGTTCTTTCGTTGGCCATTCTGGGCTGGGATCTGGTAGTGGCCGATGAGATCAAGAGGAGGACGCAGCTTTTTTCAGTTCTGTGGTGACAGTCGTCCATACTTTAACTAGAGGGCTTTAGCCTTAACCCGCATCAACAGCACAGCTCTGTTCAGCTTCAATGCTTCCAAAGTGACAGTGTTGCATCAAAATGCAACGAATGCAACACGAAAAAAAAATAATATGAAACAATAAATAATAGAGTAACATTTGAAATGGGCCTATGTCCAAAACGTAAACAAACCAGAAAATGAATTTTAAATTTTGGCCGCCTCTATTCAATTCATATTTAAGAAAATTGAAGTATTTTAGGCATTTATATTGTTCACAATAACAATAGTAACTGTATCTCAGTATACAACATCCAAAATATGCGAAAACCTTTCAAAAATATATGAAAATCGATAACAATATAATTTCATAAATTAATAAGCCTTTTTTGTGAATCTTTCAATGGATTGGCCCTTTTTGTTACGCCGTTGTGCTTGTCATCAGAAATGGTAGGCCCTTTGCTAAGCCTTTTCGCAACGTCAAATAAATTCAAAACAAATCATCGGCCCTGCCTCAAGCAGTAGGGCCTAGCTTTGGTTTGAAATTTTTCAATCATCGGCCCTTCTACGTCACTAGGCTTAACAATGAAATGAAATAAATGAATGGTTGGCCGTTTTAGCGTGCGGGCCTATAAATGAATCGAAAAATTTCGTTGATCGGCCGTTTCGAAAATCGAGTTATTTTTAATGATTTTTCTCGATTATGCGGAACTTTCTTACACGATTAGTAGCTATCAAGCGGTGCTAAAGAATGGTATCAAAACCCGATTTGTTTACGTTTTGGACATAGGCCCATTTCAAATGTTACTCTAGATGACAACATAAACGTCAAAAAACTGTGACCACTGACAAAACAAAACTACTGGCCTCGGCTTTTCTCCTCTTTTCTCTTTCTCTGGCAGTCAGTCGTATACGAGGAGTTCGATCAGATTGGAAGTGTTGAGTGGTGGATAGAAGATTGATATGGTGTGATCTGCTTCCAATGGGAAGAGTGAGGCAAAAAGTTTCCATTTTCCCTGAAAAATCGTTCTTTCTTCCTACAAATTGTTAAGTGCGTGGCACGGCTAGCAACTCGTAGCACGATCTGCTGTTTACTGTGAGACACTGCAGGAGATTCCAGATGAACTTCCGGTTCCCTCAAGTATAGCACCGAATCACAAAGAAGGCAGAGGACAGTAGGTAGTGCTGTAGAATCGAAGAGGGAAGGGTTGCAGCGTGAAAAAAGAAGACAGAAAGTGGGTGCGGCGGCGGTGGTGGCGGTGGCGGTTTGTGCTGTGCGAACGAAGGGACGGCTGTTCAAGAAGCAAAAGTTGTTTTCTTTCTCTGTGCCCTGTGTGTAGCAATTTTTCCCGTACCTATTCCTTCTTGGTACATTTGGTACTATTTTTTCGTGGTGGTTCTCCGATTCATTTTTTTACCTTTACCTCGAACAAACACGTTCCCGAGGCGTAAAGTTGCACTGCTGGAAGTGGAACATGTTCCGATCTGGAAGCGCTAGCAGGCAAGGATCTGGTTGTTCCGGAAAGTGATGGTGTTGATGATGACCAGCTGTGCAGGATCGATAAACGTCGGGAGGAACCCAGCAACAGCAGCAGCAACAGAAAAAAATAGTGGAAAAGTATGATAATACGAGTCGAGCGTAGAAGAGCGAAACGACGACGACGAAGACAACCCAACGTTAGCGATTCGGGAGGATTTTTCGGAGAAACAACGGCGACGGGTAACGGGTAAGGTTCTGGTGGGACAGAGAGGAGACGAGTAGTGCCAGCAGCAGAGGAGTGGTTAGGATATTTACGCGAGAAGGCAGAATTACGACGACCGATCAGTTAGAGAAAAATTGCTATGGATGTGACGAAGCTGTTTTCCGATTTGGAGTCCAACAACCTGGGCCTGGTGGATGAGGCCAAGAAACGATTCAACGAGCTATTCAACAGCAGTAAGTAGCCTTTTGCGTTTCATAAATGTCCGCTTTGGGGAGTTTCAATGGCCGAAATTAACCTCACAATTTGGAGTTTATTTTTTTTTTCGGGAAGGCACAGACATGGGGATCAAAAGGAAATGGTCCTTTAAATGATCCGTTTGCTGTGACCTTGAAATGTGGGTTTGTTGTCAGCGTTGTCAGTCAGTGTGAGAAGTTTGCGACACACAACAGTTAGGGTACAAGTATTTTGTTAAAATTAATGATGTCCTACATACTGAAATTTTAGTTCTACATAATGTAGATACAAATATGCTCATTGCACAACATGCATGAGCATGCTATAAATTGACATTTGAGCAGTTTTTATGAGCTATAAACTGGAACTAATTTGTTGGCGTTGTGAGTGAAAATGCGTGAGCGTGAGTTTTGTTTGCCATATTTGCTTGCGAGTTAATTCTCTCAGGAAGTTAGGGAACCTCAGGGAATTCCATTTATGATCTGAGAATTCATGGATTCTCAGGGAAATATTTCTCAATCCTTATTCATAACTGCATTACAAACTATAATTATTTCGCCAATCATGTTAGAAAGTGAAACAATGATTTTTTTTAAGAAGGCAGTTGAGCATTTTAAATCCAGTGAAAGTTTTTTTTAACTAGAAACACAGTTGAAAGTTCCATGACATGGATCATTTCTTCAAGGTTCTGGGACGTATTTCAGTTTCAAGGTTTCGTACTTAGGAAAATTTTGTAAAAAATCCACGGTTTAAAACACAAGATTTTGAATCATTTAAGGTTCAACGAATTACGAACTTATCAATATTATCAATATTCTAAACCAAAAATATTGGCAAGGTTTCGCACTCATTATTTCTTTTTTTAATTTAGGATTCAGTGTTGTTTAAAACCCCAGGTTGCAAGCCATTTGAAATTTATCGGTTTTTCTATTTTGTCTGGAACAGGCAGTGTTGTCAGTGGTCACAGTAGTTGACGTATTTTCTGGGATAATCCATTGCCTTCCCTTCTCACCCTCGTAACATAAGCTATCAAAATACAGTACGAAACTAAAATGTCATATGATATGCCTCTCTAACGACTGTGTTGCCGAAAAACATTACGCAGGGTAGCCACTGAACCGGGAATTAACCGGGAATCAAAATCGGGAAAAACCGAGAAATAACCGGAAATTTGATTTGAATATTTTTTCTTAATGTATCGAATTCTGTCAAAATAAATTCTTAGTTCGATATTTTGAGCATTTCTTCAAACTCGGAATTCTTAACTCCGAGATTCTATAAATTAAGTCTAAAATCAAAACAAATATGCAGTTTCATAAGTCCAAGATCTTGACACTTTTTTAAATTAGTATAGTGTTAATCCCATAACCATTAACCATAACCATAACAACCAGGTTTAGTCATTTGTTTTTTGTTAACTTACCTATCTGAAAAAAAAAATCGATTTCCGATGTCCGGCAATTTGATTAATATTTTATTGAGATTTATTCAGTTCCATTCAGTTCAGTTCTAGATCGGGTCTCTTTGTTTTCTAACAAACACACAGATTTTCACAGATTCACAGATCTCACTATTACACTTTTTAGAAAGAATGATCATAATATTAATAATAATAACACCAGACCGCACAATTTTCTTAACTTGTTTGTCCTACGGATTTCGATTTTTTAAGTCCCTCGGTTTAAATATCTAAAAATTTATCGTGGAATATTACAATTCCGGAGAACTTCGAGATTAGGGCGTAATTGCTTTTGTAAACAAACACTTCATTTGAAGATTTCTCGCGAATTAAAGCTCAATCTCAAAAACTAACAACACAAACAGATAAATGAATGGTTCCACTATCATTTGGTAAAGTTTGTTCACGAGATTGTTCTTTTATTCGCGAGAAATCAGCGATTGACATGTTTGTTTACAAAAGCAATTTCGCCCAAATCTCAAAGTTCTCCGGAATTATCCTCCAATTCGCATTTGAGTAAATTTTTGTGAGTGTTATTTACGTATATTTGAGTTTAAATTTACTCATTCTTGATTACGATTTTTCTTGAACTGCTATCTAGAAAAGTTGTGTAGGTCCCCAAGGGGTGGTCACTCTACACACTTATATTGTGCCAACTTTTTTCTCAGTGTGCCACAGCTGTGTCGGCAGTGCCGAGAGTGTCATCAGACTGCTTTTTTGTTTTTGTTATGGTATGTTAGGCAACCCGGTTTATTTGACAGTTAACATATTTTGTTTTGACGAAAAAACAACAAGCAGTGGAATCCTATCCCAGATCCTAACTGTCGGTTCGTTACTCCCAAATTCGAGCGAGAACATTCTCCGAGGGAGGCAGTTCCAATTTCCGACAGGACAATAATTTCCACTGGATTGGAGTATGTTGAGGACTCGGATGAACCACAGGGGACGGTGGTAAGTAGACGAAGCGAGCGTGCATCAGTGGGAGTTTGAACCGGAATCAGCCTTCCCTGGTGGAGGTGGGGTTTAATATGTCCACACGGTCAGACAGTCCAATGATCGGACAAATGGAGAGAAGTATGATGTCTCTGACGAAAAGCAGTGCCGACCAGAGAACACCTGTAAAAGCTGGGGCGCTGTCGATGGTAGGAAAGCAAACGCCGGTGAAGATTCTACCTCCGAACATGGTCCGAGTGATTATCGGTGTCAGTTACGATCAACGTTGCCAGGTCATTTTCAGAAAAATCTGGACCAGGTAAAATATAAAATCTGGAAAAATCTAGAATGCTCCAAAAATCCTCTTTTTAACATAATGCTATTGAAATCAAAGTGATGTGCCAATCTCCTGTAAAAATAGGTCAGTATGATCATCTGAAATTTATTTAAAGTACTAGAATGGTTATAAATTACATGTTTAAATAAATTATATAAAGCAAATAACTTGTAAGCATTGCTAAAATCTTCCAAAAGTTTAAAAGTATTGACACGGTGTGCCCAAAAAGTTCAAATATCCATTACACAGCATTTAAAAAATTGAGTTAAATGTGGGTAAAAAACAACAGAAAATATAGTTAGAATTGTTTTTTAAACTGTAAGTTTTTTTAATAGAATGAGAAGCAAAGAGTCAAGGAAATTTGATGGGATGGATTTTTTGAGCTAATAGTCGATGTAGTCCTTACTACTTGATGCAGTACCAGAATATATTAGATTTTATTAGTTCGATATAATTCTAATACTACTCTGAGGTTGATCAGATTTACAGTTTAATTCTTGACATCATACAACACACAACACCCAGCAGACCAGCAGGCAATTTTATTTTGAAGCAAAATTCACCGGGCTGAAGTAGAAATCAAAGCCTAACATCGTGGAACTCACACAGTTTACCTAAACTACGGGTAACTCCACTATTCGCATGACCATTACGAATAATTTTATGCCAAAGATCACTTTTATTATAATACTAAAGTCTGATAGCTTCATTTTTAAAGTATCAGAATCTTGCAATGATTCTAAATTCCGGAATTTATATTTTTCCTGCGTCCCAGATCATGATTTTTTTTTTAGTCTGAATATACTTGGAACTCTTCACATGATATATTCGCCTTTTTTTTTAGTTCAATTTGAATCATTCTAGAATTCCATCATATTTCTTTTCTTTATTCCCCTAGAATAATCTTGAAAATATCTAAACTTTTCCAGTAACATTCTAAGAGTTCTTAGCATTACCTCTTGTAATCACTTATAAATCACTCTCCAATTTCATAACTCCCTCAAACTGGCAAGAATTGGCTCAATTTTGTGTCCATTTTTCTCTATGAAATTCTTAAAAAATTCTTTAAAATTTCCTTGGTACACTCTTCAGAAAAACCGTCGCACTCTTCTCCAACTTATCCGATAATTTCCTTTGAACTGCTTTATAGGTAAGGTCAGAATTGTTTTGAAATCCTTTTCAGTAATACCTAAGTACTCAAGTACTTTGCCAAAATGGTTTTGAAAGTCTCCCAGAAATTGCGCTTAAAATTTTATTAAAATTATCTCCATAGAAACATTGGACAGAATTCCTTTGATATTATTCTCACGATTCGTATCAGCATACTCCTTTTAATTTTTTTTATTAGAGTTTAAATCAATTGCAGTGATATTTTTCAAGCAACATGTTTAAAAAATCTGGGAAAATCTGGAACATATTTAAAAAATCTGGAAATATACGTGGTCTGTCTGTGTATCTGGCAAGACGACTAAAAATCTGGAAAATCCAGATAAATCTGGAATACTGGCAACGCTGGTTACGATGAAGAACGAATCATGGAACTGAATGTCGGTTGGCTGATCAACGAAGTGATGAAGCGTTAGGGAATCAAACATGGTAAACGACCACTGATAAAACTACGACGGCCAGATGGTGGCCTTTGTATGGATACCGATCCCCTGTGCGGCTCGGATTCCATAATCAATTCGAACCTCATAGAGTTCGATAAGCTGCGTTCGGATCAGTTCTACGAGGATTATTGCCAGAGATGAACCAGCAGATGGCTGAAAGTCTCTTTAATAAAGAAAGATAAGATAAGATAAGGATTATTGCAAATATCGCGATATTGAAATGCTGTGCACAATGGAAAACACCGTTCACTTTACACTCCACCGGGACTTTTTCTCCGCCAAGCCTTTAAATATTCTATTTCAGCCATTGGGTTACCAGGGTCGGGACTGAGAGCTAAACCTATCCTTCAACCAACTCACCGTTGTAGACTTTCAGGAGCTCACCTTCAAGCCCAGCAACTGACCAATCAATATCTTACAAGTCCACTTAACCTCCTTCGGCTGTGATTTCAGCTTCGTCACGAATCTCCCCGCCCCAAATTTATCTGCTAACGTCTTCAACGTTTGCTTCAGGGTGTCGCTCTCCCCATTAACCAACTCACTAATCACATTCCGAATCGGCATTATGACCAGTAGCAGTCCTTTCATGGCCATCTTTTCAATCAGCTTCCGGAACGATGCCACTCCCTCCCAACTTCGATCAAACTGTTCTGAAACATC